TCTAGCAGAATCGGCAAAGGCAGCAAGAGGGGATGGGAATGGCTGATGAGGACAGTCTTCCAGTTACCACACCTCAAACCCCATTAGGCAAAGGTGAGATTTGCTCCCAGTCTTCTTGCCCAGGGCAGATCCCTCAGACATCTGGTCAAAACACCTACTAACATCTGCCCATCATCCATCAGGGCCAGAGGAAGCTGTGTATCTCCCAGTGTACCCACAGACCCACTGTGCTAACAGACAAGACCAGGGACAGGCAGTCGAGATGCTTTCATGTCTGATCTTGGAAAACCTCTTCTCTGCTATGTTCTGCTCCTCCTGCATGCCTTGTGCCATGCTACGTACACACTGAGCACTGCTAAGCAAGGCCTAAAACCAACCTAGGTGAGAAATTAAGCCATGAGTCTCAGAAGGGCTTAAAAGTCATGTAAGGACTGAACGGCTCAGCATTGGCACAAGGGCAGTGGTGCACCATGGTGAAGTCATGGACTGACAAGTGGGTGAGCTCACCTGGAGGCAGTCCAGGCAGCGCAGAGACAGGAAAACTGGTGTTGCCCCAACATCTCCCAGTGTCTTTCTCAATAGCTTGTGTTGTGTACACAGCCTGTCCAGAAGAAACTTCGGTCCAAGGACTTCAGATGCCTCCAGGGTTAGGCAGGACACTTGTGAGTACTGCTTGTATGTACTCAGTTTTACTGAGTTAATTGACTTTGATTTTAAAAGTGCCTACACACTTTGATGTGCCAACTAGATACCTTCTTGTATGTGAAGGCTGCCTTCAGAAATCATGCCCTTAGGCTCTGGTTGTTGGCTGAGACTTGAAAGTAGTTAAGGAGGAACCAAGAACATTTCAACAACAGGGAAGCAGAACAGTGATGATGTGCACAATGACTCACCTTGGCTATTATATTAATTTATTTCTCTTACATAAGGCTTGTACTGTTTTTTAGTTATGACCTCACAGAAACAGCTAAATTAAAACGCTCCCCCCACATCCAGGTATTAATTAGCTCGAACTACTAGTATCTGAAAAATGCATGATATTTACTTGGCTGTGAAGGAGAATCTAGAAAGTATCCTGTGTTTTGGTCTAACCTGGGCCATAAATGGAAGACAACATGCATGGATTTCACCTGGACAAGGGGACTGGTGAGATGTGTTAACCATGGATTTTCCATCTGTATTTCTGTTTTGTTAATGTCTTAAACTTTAGCAACAAAAGGACATTACTTTTGGTTTGGGAAAAGCAATTACATTCCTGGCAAATGGTATAATATGTAATTCAGATGGATTTGGAAGCAGGCGTGCTGGAGCTGCCTGTCTACACTTAGTGGGCAAGAGTAGATTTCTTGTAACCATGATTTTGTTATAACTCATAAATGATTGCTGGAATTAACAACTTCTTGGATACCAGCAGGGGAAATTTGTCCATAAACATAAATTCAAGTACTCCCCTGTGAATATGAACTTTCCTTGGAGTCTGAGACCAGGCATGCAAAAATAGAGACACACAAAAAAACCCAGTTATGTCTGAAATTCCTGACTGCACAACTGTTGTCCCAGACCCAATCTCTTGCACATGAAAACTCAGGCAAAAGTGTCTTAATGACCTCACTGACAGTTTAATAGGGCCCTTATGGAGTACTAGTTGTGCGAGCTGGTAACAGTACAAACTAACACAAAAATACCAGGAGCGTAAGAAGCAAAAAGAGTCTGGGAAGCACCTGTTCTCCTGGCACCTCAGTCACATATGCTAGGCACTTCTAAATGCTACAGCAAAGTGATGGGCTCCAGACCTGGACATCCAGCAGTTCAACCACAACCACTGGCCATGCAGCTGGAAGACGGGTTTAGTCCCACTAGCAGCAGCTGTCATATGTTGCTTTTTGGGAAGGAGAATGAGCATGTTACACAGAAGTCTTTGGATGTGTTGTGACAAGGATCTTCTACATTTCTTTTTCCTGGCCTGATTTTCAAGACAGTGGTTGTGGTTGTGGAGGACATTTGCAAATATGTCTTATGCTGTTCCCTGTGCCTGGGATTTACGATCTTTCTGGGCAGGTTTTGCATACAAAGCAAGAATCCACTCACAGGGACAGACAGCACTGCCACAATCCAGGAGAAAATGAAGAATTAAGCTGCCAGGAGGCCCTGAATACTCGGCACTGGAGAGCAAGGGTGACCTGTGTGCAAGCTGACTGGGACAAGAGGGGCCGTGTCAGTGCATCAGTGTTGCCCTGCTGGAGAGGGATGACTGTTATATAAAAGCCAGAAGTAGGTCACACACTTGTCTTCATCAGCAATACGACATTTTGGAGGCTAGGTTTGTGCAGCCAGGTCTGAGGGTTTGCAGCACAGCCAGAAAGGAGAGGCTGAAGGTGCTGAGTTAAGCACTGCTCATCAGCAGCACAGGCTGAAGCTGCAGTTCTGCAGCTCAGAAGCTTCCTGTGCATGGACTTTTTCTCCCAGGTTTTGACCAGGGGTCCTACACTGCTGCCAGCGTTCAGCCTGGCCAGGACACTGAGGGTGTGCAAGGCAGCAGACTGGGACAGTTTCAAGTTCCACATAATTAAGCCCTTGCTCTTTGTAGAACAAACAACTTAATTACATCCTATTGAGACTCTACAAGATGTTCTTTCACTTTCCTTTTCTCTATACTACTGTATGCATTAGTTTTCAAATACATAAGCTGTCCATTAGCAACAACCTTGCCAAAAGAGGAGCAAATTTCAATACTTCTGGTCAGTGTTACACCTCTTTCTCTGGTACAGATCGCAGGGGCTGGGGTTACAGGAATGCATCCAAGGCAGAAGATCAACTCTGGAAAGATAAAGGCAATCTTAAGAGATTATTCAGGCACTTTTAAAAGTTGAAAGATGGAAAACAGCAATTTTCACACTCGCTTCTTTAAGGCAAACTAAGAGATTATCCTTATATGTTGTACTGCTTCTGGATGAAGTTACCTCAAGGGACAACATCAAAGAAGATCTCTGTGGTTATGGAATTTTCGTCATAAAGTGTATTCTTGGTGATTGAAAAATGCATGAGGTGATGATTGATCTCTTGAGGGCAATGGTGACTGGTATCAAGAAAAGTGAGAAAGAGGTTGACACAGTAGGAAAAGGATGTATTTGAGAAGGCTTCTAATCAGAAAACTGTACAAATGCTGTCAATAGCTTCCTAGATGGTTTTGATGGCTTCTAATGGCCCTTTCATTAGAGAGAAAGATGAGTGAGGAAAATTTATCAAGTCCTACAGGCTGAAAGGTTACTCCTTTCTTCTAGAACCATAGAGATACTGTGTGGGAAAAGAAAAAAGTTGAAAGCTGTAGTGGGGCTGTAAGTACCAGAAGCTGTTTCTTCAGAGAGGTATTACCAGTGTGTAAATTGCACAGGAGAACTCTGCATCCAATTTTTAGATTCATCTCACCCACTCAGTTAGGGGCACCTACCATAGCTATGTGAGTAGAGTCATTATCAAAAGCTCCCTCAGGGGATTGCTTCCCTTTGGCTGGAGTTTAGTAAAGCCTTCAACACTGTTTCTCACAGCATTCTCCTGGAGAAACTGGCTGCTCATGGCTTGGGTGGGTATACTCTTCACTAGGTAAAAAACTGGCTGGACGGCCATGCCAGAGAGTGGTGGTGAATGGAGTTAAATCCTGTCAGCGGTCAGTCACAGGTGGTGTTCCCCAGGGCTCGGTACTGGGGCTGGTTCTCTTTAATGTCTTTATCAATGACCTGGACAAGGGGGTCGAGTGCACTCTCAGTAAGTTTGCAGATGTCATTAAGTTAGTTGAGCAGGATGCTTAAGGGTAGGAAGGCTCTCCAGAGACATCTCAACAGGCTGGATCGATGGGCTGAGGCCGATAGTATAAATTTCAAAAAGGCCAAGTGCCAGGTCCTGCACTTAGGTCGTAAGAACCCCATGCAGTGCGACAGGCTTGGGGAAGAATGGTGAGGCACTGGAACAAATGGTGAGGCACTGGAACAAATTGCCTAGGGAAGTTGTGGAGGCCCCAACCCTGGAATTGTTCAAGGCCAGGTTGGATGGGGCTTTGAGAGACCTGGTCTAGTGGGAAGTGTCCCTGCCCATGGCAGGGGGGTTGGAACTGGATGATCTTTAAGGTCCCTTCCAACCTAAACCATTCTATGATTCTATGAAGAATGGCTGGAAAGCTGCTCAGCAGAGAAGGACCTGGGGATGCTGGTTGACTGCTGCCTGAATATGAGCCAGCAGTGTGACCAGGTGGCCAAGAAGGTCAACAGCATCCTGGCCTGTATCAGGAACAGTGTAGTGAGCCAGACTAGGTAAGTGATTGTCCCCCTGTACTTGGCACTAGTGAGGCCCCACCTCGAGTATTGGCTTCAGTTTTGGGCCCCTCAGTACAAGAAAGACATTGAGGTGCTGGACCATGTCCATAAAAGGGCAATGAAGCTGGTGAGAGGTCTGGAGCACAAGTCTTATGAAGAGCGGCTGAAGGAACTGGGGCTGTTGAGTCTGGAGAAAAGGAGCCTGAGGGGGGACCTTGTCGCTCTCTACAACTACCTGAAAGGAGGTTGCAGAGAGGTTTGGGTCAACCTCTTCTCGCTAGTGACAAGTGATAGGACAAGAGGAAATGGCCTCAAGTTACACCAAGGGAGGTTTAGATTGAATATTAGGAAAAAGTTCTTCACAGAAAGGGTTCTTAAGCATTGGAACAAGCTGCCCAGGGCGGCCGTTCAATCACCATCCCTGGAGGTATTTAAAAGACAGGTATATGTGGTGCTCAGGGACATAGTTTAGTGGTGGTTTTGGCAGTGTTAGGCTAACAGTTGAAGTTCATGATCTTAAAGTTCTCTTCCAACTTGGACAATTACATGATTCTATGATTCTAAATACAAAGTAATTGGACAACTCTCTGAGAACAATGGAAACTGCTGAATAAAAGTGTTACGCAAACACCTTGGCTCAATTTTTACAATGAGTTTAGCTATGCTGAGACAGTGTTTTCGTTTCCTTGCGGGATGTCCATGTTTTCCTTCAGACAAAAGGAAGTTTCATCCAGGTGAGAACTGTATCAAAGAAAAACTGCATGAACAAAGCACTACTTCTACAAGCAGGGAGTTTCGGCATTAAGCTTCTAATTTTGAAGGACTCTACCAAAGGGAGAGACAGTGGCACTACAATAATCTCCAAAAGTCCCTGTATATGTTCCTGTACAGGCAACTACAAAAAAAACCCCTACTTTTTGTTTTTTTCTACTTGTAGTCTACAGTCCTGTAACCTTCTGTGAATGTTTTTCCCTTCAGGTACTTCAACAACCCGTTTGCAATCAATAGGGACTTTGAATGAAAAACATTAAAGAAGTAGGCTTTAAGCTTTTTTGAGAACAAAACTACATTTTAATAACTAAAATGTTAATAAGATTATTAAAAAGAATTACAGGTCTGTTATCTCCTCATTAATCATATTTCCATGTTGCAAAACCTGGACAAGGGTTGGAACCTGGATGAAAGGCAGCGCTAAGCTTTTTCATGATAGAACCATTGTTTCGCACAAGCCCTGATGCTAACTAGAAATTGTGAGAATCAGTAAGTCAGGAATTGGAAAGCTTTATAAAGCAAACATATACTATATAAAGGTGAAGCAAGTGTGTGGCAGACTACAAAGAAGACTTTTCTAAAGGCAAGTGAAAATTAAAAAGGAGAACGTCCTTTTTCTCCTGTTATTATGTGCAGCACTTTCTTTTCCCACAGATACAAGACAGAAGAAAGAAGGAGGCATGCAGCTTATTGAGGTAACGAAGGTACACCTCTGAGGAGATCAGCAACTGTTGAGCATCCATTGCATTCTCTGGAACTAGTATACAGTAGTTGAGGAGCTAGTTCTGCAAATTCCAGTAGAATGAATAACATGATTGAGTATTCCTCAAAATAGAGGGGGCTGTATTCTGTCCCATGATGACAAAGGCTTCTCAAACCCTGACTCATTCTTGGTTTATTTTTTTGTAGAGAACAATTAAAACTCATGATGCATTCACTTATGTGTTGAGTCTAGAAATAATTAAAAACCTGAGTCAGTCTATGTTTGATGTGCGGTTCAGGTGGAAATGTGGTTCTTTATGTGATTTCTGGTATCCTGAGACATAACTCTTCATAAAATAAGGATATTGTTTTGTCTGAATTATTACTGTCAAAAAATGTGGGAAAATGGGATACTACTGCTGAAATTTTGTATCCAGCCATCCATCCATATTTCAAACAGCTTCTGCACTGCCTGCTCTAAAGGATCCTGGGTAACCCTAGAGCACAGGGTAAGTGGAGGGTACATAACCAGAAAACAAACAATTTATTGGACAAATGCTAATTTTGAATGTATTCTGAGTAAACTGCAAAACACTTCTAGTGATAATACAATGCAAAAAACTATAATTAAGAGAAAAATATTCATACAGGCTTTAACAAACTCTATTACCCATAATCCCATGGAACAGAAAGAAAAGTAACAAAGGTACATGCCTGAAGTGGTGTTAGTATAATTTTTTATGATCTTCAAAAGCAAACACCATTGAGAGTCCTAAAAGGCTTTTTTTTTTCCTTAGAAGTTCCTGGAAAATTACTATGGCTTTAAGAAAGATGGAGAATATTTCATTTGGAAAAGCAATAGTCAAATGACACAAAAAATAAAAGAAATGCAGGAATTCTTTGGGCTGGAGGTGACGGGGAAACTGAATTCTGGCACTTTGGACCCGGTACAGAAACATCGTTGTGGATTCCTGGACGTAGCGGGGTTCTCCATCTTTGCAGGAGAACCAAAATGAGCAAAACAAATTCTGACATACAGGTAATTACAGTGGAATTCTTAATGTGAAGGCAGTGTGTTACACAGTGTAAGTTGTAAGAACACTGCTGGTTTTCTATCTTATATTTTAAAGGATATTAAACTACACACCAGACCTGTGTCCAGCAGATGTCAATGCAGCGATCAAGAAAGTGTTAAATGTCTGGAGCAGTGTGACCCCACTGAAATTCATCAAGAAGGATGGAGGTGATGCAGACATACTGATGTCCTTTACAGCCAGAGGTAAAACTCTACATAACCATTATGAATTATTGCCAAGTCACTGCCTATATGGAGCAGTCGATCTGAAATGCTAATGATTTCTTCTCATAGATTGCATGGGCAAATTTCAGTGTCAGGTTGAACAAGCAGATAGAAAAACACAGTTCATGCTCAAGGTGCTATGGCTACAACTTTTGAAGATCTTTGGTGGACTGTACAGAGGCAGATGAAAGGAAGCAGGGAGAAAATAAATGTAATGAGTTGCCTGCAGTTCACTGGATGTACACCTAGTATATGATGCCCAATGCGTGCAGAAACCACAAGAGGCTTGAGTCTTGTGGGATATACCCAGACTCGGAGCTTTATGGAGTGGGTAACTCTAGTTACACTCCTGGGATTAGTCATGTGCTTTGTGTGGGCTAAATAAGTTCTAGGCAGACTCAAGGCTTATATTTTTGGCATTTCCCTCAGGGTAGGCTTACCAGCAGCCTTCCGTCTTTCATTAACAGTCATGCACACATGCACTATTCTAGTCGGCTCCTCTGTTCCCACCCAAACAAATCCACTCATCTGGGCCATGCACAGCGTGCAGGCACAGCAAGTAACCTCCATGTCCTTAAATCCTTTTCTGGAGGCTACATTCAAGGGTTTACAGTCTTCCCAGGATCTTGCTTCTGCCATCAAATTACCACTCAGGTTCAAGTGACCACCTGATGGCTGCTGACACAGAGTTTATGAAAATTTTACCTTATGAACAAAAAATGAAATATTTTTCAACTTAAACCATGTCCTCCTCTTCCCTTGTGGCAGCAGTATACAAATGTCCACCCATTTCTTGAGGAAACCAAGATTTCACTCCTGATGCATCAGTTCAAATTTTCCTAAGTTTTTCATGCGTAAAATAGAGCTTTTTTGCAAATCTGTGTGGAAGAGGAACTTGAAAATTTACAAAATAAGCAAAACAGAGATTGCTCTGTGCATGGCCAGGATCTGTTAACTCCATAACCTCCAGTCAGCTGTGTATGCAATTTGCTTCTCAGGTCACAACGACTTCATCCCCTTTGATGGCCCAGGAGGGTCCATTGCTCACGCCTACGCACCTGGCAAGGACTTTGGCAGAGATGCTCACTTCGATGAAGATGAAACCTGGACCAAAAACACATAGGGTAGGAAATTAGGTTCTCCAAGCCCTTCCTGAAGCAGGCTGTACATGAAATCAAGGTTGCAGTGTCTGTCTCCTCTCTTCCTCAAGAAGTGCTTAAAAATGGGACTGATTTGAAGGACTATTGAGCAGCTGGTTTCTGTAGCTATAAAAAGACTCTGAGCCCTCTGATTTAAAAAGTTAAGGCCCCAGCTGAACTTCTGCCAGGGACAAGATGGAGATCTATTTGGGAGGGAGCTGAGGGACCTGGCAGCCCCCTTCTCCCCAGTCCTCCAACCTGTTCGTCTCTCCCCACACAGTTATATCCCCTGCACTGGTACAGGCTCCTTCTCCCATCCTGACTTCTGCAGGGTCTATAGACTATTTCCTTTTACTCTACTGTAATTATTTTATTATTTTTCTTTCTGACCAGAATTTCATCTCCAACTGAATTTCCCATAACAGCTTCACTCGCTTAGGCAAGCAGTTCTAAAAGATTCTGACCTAGCTCATGTCCTTCATGTTTTCAGGACAAACAAAATGACACAGCTCTCCCATTAGGTGTTTTGTTAGTTGTTTTCAGGTACAAACCTGTTTTATGTTGCTGCCCATGAGTTTGCTCATTCACTGGAACTTTTCCATTCCAAAGACCCCAATGCTCTGATGAAGTTTGACCCTTCAGTATTCCCACTTCATCAGGATGTTATTAATGGTATTCAGTACCTCTCTGGTAATTCAAAATTATTAATCAACTACTAATCAACTACTGCTTATAATTTCAAAGACTTTGGAATACCTTTCAGTGACATTTTTGTGTACTGGATATACCTGAAAGAGTTTTCACTTTAATTTCTTCCATAAACTGCTTCTTTTAAGACCATTTTCTAACAGCCACAAATGACCAAAGGGAATCTATGGAGATAAAAGACCCAATCAAGTCAAAAGGTCCTGCACTGCCAAACACCCATGGCCCCAATTTAACTTTTGATGCCATCACCACTTTCCATGGAGAAATAATGTTCTTCAAAGACAAGTAAGTCAGCTTTCTGTAAGTAAAATGGCTGGGTATCATTTTAAATTATGCCCCACAGTATAGAAAAATTACTTTACTCAAAATGTCAGTCATTCTAGGCAGGAAGGCAAGACAGCGAATCGGGATAAAAGGTGGGAGGTAAAAACAAAGGTGGTGGTGCAGAAAGACAGAGAGATAGGTGTAAGGAGGAATACGACCTTTGAAACAGGTCATGCTATGAATAGGATGGGGAAAGATGGCTCCTCTGAAAACATGGTCTGTTTTCACTTTAGGCTGTAAGCAAGTCCCAAGTGTTTGGTATTTGGGAGAGTTCAGCTTTGGCAAAAGGCACCACCAGCCCTGAGACACTCGGCACCTTCATTGCTGTCTTTGCCTTGAGAGACCTGAGGGTTTACCCATCCTGACACAATGTCTGCTCGAAGAGCCCCTGCAGTTTTAATTTAGTATAATACAAAAATAAAAGGATAATAGATTCTAAAAGGATAATAGATTCAGTGCTAAACTCAGACAAAATGTCTCTCTCCAGGGCAGCACAGCCCAAAGAACTGAGAAGAAGGGGTAAAAGGGCTGATTCCCCTCCTTTTAGTTTAATAAAAAATAAAAGGATAATAGATTCTAAAAGGATAATAGATTCTAAAAGGATAATAGATTCAGTGCTAAACTCAGACAAAATGTCTCTCTCCAGGGCAGCACAGCCCAAAGAACTGAGAAGAAGGGGTAAAAGGGCTGATTCCCCTCCTTTTTGTGTGGTAAGGCTGTGCTTCTCCTGCTTCAGACCCTACCCAACAACAACATTAAAGGGAGGTTTGACCTCAGAGTTTTGAATCCACAATGCTAGTAAAGTGTTATTTTGCAGAAGATCCTCACGCACACAAACCATTTCTCTAAGCTGGTGTTGGTAACCCCAGGGTGGGGTTTCATTCCCAAAATCTTACCACATACCAGTCATGTGAGACAGGCCTCTCTGAGCTCCCGTTCTGCGTAAGGGAAAATAATAACTGTTTTGACAAAACGGTTCATCTGACCTATTTTAGATGTCTGCATCAAGATCAGAGGAATCCCACCATGGAAATAACTTTCTTTCCGTTGACATGACAGGGAGCTTAGGGTGACTAAGTCAGAGAACATGGCTGGGTTTAGTCAGATAAATCCTGCCTTGGTTGCCATGATGTGGTTTCATGCATTAGTGTGTGTGATTTTATTTAAAACCTGTTCTATATTTATGTAAGGCATTTTTGGAGCAAGTATCCTGCAGTCAGAGCATCTGATTTTAATGTAATACCCTCATTCCAGCCATGGCTGCCACCTGGTGTTGATGCTGCATATGAAATTCCTGAAAAAAAAACCCCCAAAACTGTAGTTTTTGAAGGTAAAATGTTTTTTTGTTATTTTCTTGTGTTGTTTTCCCAAGTAGCCTTGGGAGTTGTGTCTGGCTTAATAAACACTTAAGCTCCTCCTGTAGGATTCCACAAGCTTTAATTTAGTCTTGTAAGTTGGTGTATATCAATGACAGAGACAACAAAAATATTATCCAAGATAAGGAACATGTATCTTATTTTTTAATGTCAATATGGAAAAGTTTCTCTGCCAAAATAAATGTAATGATTTTCCTTTTTTTCTGGACAATTATCTATTGAATTTAAAAACAATAATACATGCTTCTTCCTAGCTTGTGGAAAACTAACATAAGTATGAAGGAAGACTGAAATTTCAGTTTTCATAAAAATTGCTACAAAGAGCTATTCTAGCTTTTTTTTTAGACTCTAGAACTAGTATGTAAAATGTTTTCAAGCAACCATTATTTTCTCTCTGTATTTTTCCATTAAAATATTAGCTTTCATTAAAAGAATTTCATCATTCCCAAAAGAAGATTCTGATAACACATTTTTATCAACTTTTCTTGATAGGGAATGAATTCTGGGTTGTGAGAGGAGATACCATACTTCCTGGATACCCCCAAAAAATCTACACCTTGGGCTTTTCAAAGGATGTTACCAAAATAGGTGCTGCTTTTTATAATGTAAATGAGGGGAAAACTTATTACTTCATAGCAAATTTTGGAGGTAATATTTCCTGTGCTACTTTCCTAAACAGGAGCAAACATAATCACATGATCAATATCCTGTCATGATTTAGGATGCATTAGTCATACACTTTTGGTAATCTCTTTCAGTGTCACAACTAGCTATGGAAAAATATTTGAAGGGGAAGTGAAACAGTGTTTTTAGCTTTCCTTTTAATCTATTTAATTATTTAACAGTTAGTTAGTTAGTTTATTTTTTTCCTTTCACTGCCTTGGGGAAAAAAGCCATCGTACAGCTCCACCAGTCAGCTCAGGAAATCAATCAGAACCTCACTATTTATATCAAAGATGTTTCTGTGGGGTAAGAAGGAGCATCCCACCTTTTTTCCGACAGATAGTTTCATAAAGCTGCTGATAAAGGCCATGCACTGCAAAGAATTAACTGCTACTACTCAGGTTTGTGTTACGGGATGTATACTCCCAACAACTGAAGGAGGTGCTCCTGTAACAGAAGCAGTAGGTAACCTGGACTTTTGCAGATGAGTGGCACAACTTCTCTCTTTCCTGCCACCACAATTCCCAAGTCATTGTATATACAGAGGTCATCCTGGAATAATTATTCAGCCACATATTTGTAGTTTAAGCAGAACATCAGGCTTCCACATTTTAGTTCTCACTCTCATAGCTTGAAGGACTTCAGCTGAACAGTTTGATCATTAAATCTCTTACTGAGCAAAGGTAACAGAAGGAAAATGCTTTCAGAAGCCTTCTAATTCTAAATGTTACAGCCTGCTATAAATGACTTAAGTAAAATGACTTAAAATAACTTATAACTTAAAAAAATACCATATTTTTACTGATAAACATTTCTTACAGAGAGGAAATGTGAAAGCAATCTGTTTATAACCTTAGAAATCTAACTTACGTTTGAGATAAGATTATATCTACCTCTCCTTTAGGTGCATTCCCACACGATATCCTGGTCTCTAAATTGAAGAGACATGGATTCGATAAATGGACCACTTGGTGGATAAAGAACTGGCTTGATGGTCGCACTCAAAGACTTGCGGTCAACGGCTCGATGTCCAAGTGGAGAGCAGCGACGAGTGGCGTTCCTTGGAAAGCAGTGACCTGTTGAACATCAAAGATGTTGAACTGTACAGGTCCTCAGGGGTCGGTACTGGTACCTGTACTGTTCAACATCTTTGTCGCAGACATAGACAGTGGGGTCGAGTGCACCATCAGCAAGTTTGTCGATGATACCAAGCTGTTTAGCGAGGTAGACACACTGGAGGGGAGGGATGCCATCCAGAGGGACCTGGACAGGCTGGAGAGGTGGGCTCAAGCCAACCTCATGAATTTCAACAAGGCCAAATACAAGGTCCTACATCTGGGTTGGGGCAATCCCAAGCACAAATACAGGCTTGGTGGGGAATGGCTGGAGAGCAGCCCTGAGGAGAAGGACCTGGGTGTGCTGATTGACCAGAAGCTCAGCATGAGTCAGCAATGTGCAGTCGCAGCCCAGAAGGCCAACCGTATCCTGGGTTGCATCAAAAGAACTGTGGCCAGCAGGTCAAGGGAGGTGATCCTGCCCCTCTACTCCGCTCTTGTGAGACCCCACCTGGAGTACTGCGTCCAGCTCTGGAGTCCCCAACATAAGAAAGACATGGACCTATTGGAGCATGTCCAGAGGAGAGCCATGAGGATGATCCGAGGGCTGGAGCACCTCTCCTATGAGGAGAGGCTGAGAGAGTTGGGGCTGTTGAGCCTGGAGAAGAGAAGGCTCTGGGGAGATCTTATTGTGGCCTTCCAGTCCCTAAAGGGGGCCTACAGGAGAGCTGGGGAAGGACTTTTTACTAGGGCATGTAGTGATAGGACGAGGGGGAATGGATATAAACTGGAAGAGGGCAGGTTTAGATTAAACATTAGGAAGAAGTTTTTCACTTTAAGGGTGGTGAGGGACTGGCACAGGTTGCCCAGAGAGGTTGTTGAGGCCCCATTCCTGGAGGTGTTCAAGGCCAGGCTAGATGTGGCCTTGGGCAACCTGGTCTAGTGGGAGGTGTCCCTGCCCATAGCAGGGAGGTTGGAACTCGATGATCTTTAATGTCCTTTCCAACCTAAACCATTCTATGATTCTATGATTGTTTTAGAAAAAAATATTTAGCATATTTATGATGTATTAGATATTCTTAGACACATCTTGAGCTGATGTAAACAGAAGCATTTCTTCCAGTGCAGCTAATAGAGTAATAATTATTTATGGCACATCTCGTGTGTCTCAATGCTACCTGAATGACATCAACAGTCTTCAATGAACTCAGTTACATGTTGGTAGGTACAAGGTAATGAGGTAAGCTTGATTAATCATGAGTTGTTTGTAGTTTTCATTGACACTAGGAGGTTTATCTTTTCTCAGTTATCTTTTCTCAGTTAAGAAGTCAGACTATGGACAGAAAGCCCCTACTGATAAGAGATGCATTTCCAGGAATTAATGGGAATATCGATGCTGTTTTTCAACATGAAAGTAAGTAACTGTTCTTAATAAAATCTGTATGAAATACTCAGGGTCATAGGGCTGAGAGTGCTTGGACAGAGGAAGGCACTTCTAAATGCCGCTTGTAGCCCTCAGGATGACCAACAAGACCTTGAAAGTCACGTAACACTCCCATGCTTCACTTTACCCCCTTGAAAAATCCTGATGATATACCTTTGGTGACAGCTTCACAGCTGGGAAGGCCAGCTCTAAAGGACAGAATGATATATCTGCGTTCATGTCGATGTGCACCTCACACCATAAAGAGCACCACTCAAGACAGCACCACTCAACAACATAAGGTCTACCTGCTGTAAGGCTGTCACAGCTTGGCCCTCTGACATAAAATGGCAATGCTTTGGGAATAGTAATTGACACTAGCTTCTCCTGCATGAGGGGGATGCTGGAACAGGCTCAAGGCTACGTCCACACTGATAAATGGCACAGCTTCTCAGTTGTCTTCTGGCTCCTCATCTCCTGATCATCAAATCCCGTGCACGTCAATTGCTTTCCAGCATATCTATCAGCTTCCTCCAGAATAAGTGTTACATGTGGTGCTCGGGATCCTTAACTGCAGCCCTCACTCCTAGAGGGTGGTGTGGACACAGCTGCCCCAGGCTGGATCTCTCCTTCCCTGCACGGTATTTGGTGGCACCCCAGCAAGCTTGTAGCCGCTCACACCTCGCTGTGCTCTGTGCCACACTCCAGGCTGTGCAATACCTACCCACAGGTGGTTAGAAATACACCCTTCCGGAGGGTTTCAACACTTCCATTCCATAACAGCAGACCTTTTAAACTGCAAAAACACAGAGGATATTTTTTTTGTAGGGATTCATTAAGTATATTATGCAATGTGCACATGCCTGGTTTGCCAAGGGAGGTGTCCCCATGCTGCTGTGCACCATTTTGCAAAGGTTACATCTGGGAGCAGGTGCTGTTGGCAGTGTAAGTGTATCCAAAAGTTTTTTTGAACTCTTTCTGGATGTTGTTAAAGCATACTAATCTTTACACCTGCTATATCATAATTCGTCCAGGTTTTTTGTTCCCTAGACTTCTTCTATTTCTTCCATGGAAGAAAGCAATTTGAGTTTGACCCTGACAAGAAGAGAGTTACACGCCTCCTAAAGACAAATTTCTGGTTTCCATGTTAAGAAAGTGAAACCTGTAATGGTGTTGAAAATAACGTAGTGTTCCTGCACTAGAAATACTTTTTCTTTTATAAATATATGGAATGTATACGCACTTCAGCATCAGTCAGCAAACCTCAGCCCCTGCATGTGGGAGACCTCAGCTGGTCCGAGGGATCAGAATACAAGTTTAATATTGACCCTGAGCAGATACCTGTGTACCCTTGAGGAGACCGGAGAATCCTGAGAAGATCTGAGCAAACAAGGTAAGGGTTGGCAAACATCCTGGCTTTGACCAGAGCATGAAGAGCGCGTGATCAACAGTTGTAATGGCTGGATGGCCTGTGAGGTGAGAGCGGATTGGTCAAAAGTAGAATGGTAGAGTATATGCACAGATAAGCAACCAGGTAAAAGGATATAAAAGAGCACTGCTTGTAAAACAAAATACACGATTGCTGCAACTTGATATTCAGTGCCGTGTCCGTCTCTACAACGACACCTGCACAATCTGTGTTTCTGTATATAGCAGAGCAATATTTAACATACTGATGTGTATATATGTATATATGTGTGTACATATATATATGTGCATAATTAACATCAGGATTGCTAGCTTACCAAAGGACAATGCAGTTTTTACTTTTCATACTAAATTGTCTTGTTTTATTTTTTCCACCATCTTCTTTTAACTCTTCATGCTGTCCATCACTCTACACAGAGCCCTACCAGCCAGGAGTCCATGAGGAAGAGCATTTCTGTTCCTAGAACTAGGATTGCTTTCAACCAGTTTTAGACATTTCGAAGTTAAGCAAGCGGGCTAATCAAAGCTACTGCTTGTAATTATGGAGAGACAGACAGGAGGTCCAGAGAGCAATCCCTCCCAGCCTGAGGTGAGTCCTGGGGGTGGAAGTGCTCCTTTTCGTTACTGACTGGAGAGGCAGCCTGTTTGAGCTGTTTATGTTGGACACCTGAAGAAGGCTAAGCTTGTGTGTGATGAATCCTACCCTAAAATGTTTGTTGATATGTGATTAAAGGCTCATCTCCACAAACAGGGGAGCAGAGGGGCACATTGGCATGTAGGGGAGCCCCAGTCACCCCTGGCCTGCCTCTGCACTTCTCCAGCTGTCCTGGGGGAGCCCCCAGGGGCTGGGGGACACCCGTCACCATGTGTCAATGAGAAAGGGTCCCCATCATCTCACAGGCTGAGGGGTGACTGCCAAGGGGGACAGAGGTCAGTATCCAGCGGAAGAGCATTTGGGGATTTTATAAAACTTACTATGGCATGTTTGAAGGAGACTGCAGGAATGTGTAAAATTTATTAGGGGAAAGACCAAAGGCAGGGAAATGGAAGGATCAAGGTGGATTGGGAAGAAGCAGGTTTGGGAAAACAGAGAGAAAAGTGAATGAAGGGGGCTGGTTACATGCAAACAAGTTTCAGGTCAGTGTGCTTCTTTGGCCATGCCCTGCACATTTGCTCCTGTCTTCTCAGTAAATCATATCTTACATGTGGGTAAGCTCTTTCTACACGTGTTTGGGTGAGCTTCAAGCTGGACTGGCTGCTGAGTAGGTTAAGAGTTCTGAGCACCAGCAGTTGGAGCATGGTGGCAAGCTGTGGGGACTCATATGTTACTGGGGATAACAGGAGGTATGGGGGCAGCTACTGGGAGGACTGCGTGTCTGAGCCCAGCTACTGAGGGCATCCACACTGTATTTCCATGCCAATGTTTCACCAGTGGATGGGAGTCCTCATCAGCCAGAGGGGAGGAATGGGATGGGGCCACCAGTCCTTTTCATATTTGCCCAAGCGCTCCATGTTTTCTGTCCGTGATGATCTCTGTGGCCAGCCTTGTGGCTCTCTGGACCTCGGGGACAGACAAACTGCAGCTGCCAGTTCAGTACTGGCCCATGAGTATTAGCATGATCTAAGGTCTTAGAGAAGGTATCTTTTCTTTCATGCATGTAAAAAATCTCACCCAGTACCCACTGTCTCCCCCTCATTAGACAACTTCCCTTGAAAAAGAAAAAAAAAAGAGAAAAGATAGTTCTTCTATTTGATTCCTCTTCTCCATGAATCACAGAATGACCGAGGCTAGTTGAAGATCTGGAGGTCTTCTGGTCCAACCCCACTGCTCAAGCAGGGCCACCTAGAGTGGGCTGCCAAGGCACTAGGTGGCTTTTGGAGATACTACTTTTGCACATATCCAAAGAGAGAGACTCTACCACCACTGGGCAACTTGTGTCAGTGTTCAGTCACCGTCATAGTAAAAAAGCGTTTCCTGATATTGAGAGGGAACCTCCTGTGTGTCAGTTTGTGCCTATTGCCTCTGGTCCTGTCAGGACAAGAAAATTGTATTGTATGTATACATACAATGGTACTGTATGAACTCAATGAGATATTTTACCACACTTTATGGAACATTTTTTCTGATGTATTTTTGAACCCTGAAGTAGCTGGACTACTCAAATGGGGCACTCCAGTGTGGATCTGAACACTGAGCAAATTTTACCTGAATTCTATCAAGGCCCAGGTGCTGCTTCACCTTGCTGTGGAGGTGGGAAACAAGACTTTGCTGGCCAAGCAGAACTTGAGTCAAAATTATTAGTTTAAATTACAGCACCTCCAGAAACGGAAATTAGTAGCTCTGATTGGTGTCTGATATTGCAAAGATCAGGGCAGCAGGTTCAAGTCTTCTATCTTGAGTGTTTCTATTGAATTTAGAAAGAAATATTTCAGTACTGTTTAATTGTCCCTTACTATTTGCCTCATGCTGTTCTTGTTCTCTAATTCTGGTTTTCCTTCACATTTCTGGTATAGTTTTTTTGAGTGGTCTCATAACTGCATCAGTTCATGGTCTCAGTTATAACAGTAAAAGTAAAAAAGATGCATGAATGGTTTGGCTCACACTTTATACATTTTTAATTCCTTAAGGAAGTTTCTAACCATCCTGGGTTTGAGTGGTTTTCTTCAGTTGTTCCTACCGTTGATCCCCCTCTACAGCATCTGTGCCAAACATAGCACTGCCATTGTGGCTAACTGCACTAGACCATGTTATTCTAAATGGGATAATCTCTTCCAGCTCTGATCTTTCCAACTTTTTTTGGAAATGTTCTCTTTCAGCTGGGATTGTAGTTCTCAGAGCAAAGCTGGTTTGTCCTGGACCTTCCATGATTGTTTTGTTGTTTTCTGCCTCCCGAATACTGATGAGTTCTTCCTTGTTTTTGATTATTTCTGATTAGTCGGGACTCATTCCTTCCTTATTTCACTAACTGTGCACACAGATGATCATACTAATTGTTGAATATGAAGTGTTGGATCTGTAGCAGAAGTAGAGCTTAACTGACTCTAGTACTATCTGTCTTAATATAATTTAGCTGTTTTACTGTTGGATGTTGGTGTCTTTTTTTGCTTCACAATTCTTATTTTGAAAATCTCTGGTACTGCTGACAAGTGAGCCCATCATTTGGGTGAAAGCAGGCTTCTGAACTGAATGTCATTGACCTGTGTTCGATATCCTGTGCTCTTCTGAAATACAGTTTGAGACCTGGACACTGAGTAGATATATTCATTGTCTGTGGTACACTCAGTCCAAACATTTCAGTTATGGTTTTCCAAGTCTTCTAAAGACATCAGATTTTTCCTTGCTATAGCAAATTTCTAGTCTGCTTGCATGGAAAATTGGGTGAAGACAAAAGTGTCTTCACAAAGAACAGACTCTTTCTCCTCTAGAATTCAGATCACAAAAATTACTTTTTCTTCTATGTTTTATTTATAACAGGCTCATTTTTTTTGTGGTTTTCACTGTCTTGGGGGAAATTTTGCTTACATCTAAATGTATCTATTTGCTTTTTGTTTGCCAAGGGCTCCATAGTGCATCCATCAGACACAGTCCAGGAGGTCCAACATGGAAGGCCTAACACTATCTACCCCAGGAAAAAACAGTTTGGTTTCGATGTTGTTTTTCTTACCATTTGTTGGTTTTCTTGGTTTCTCACATTCACCCTGTCTGGAAGGGACAAATGCCCTTTGATGTTGTTCTTGACATGATTACATATGTATTATCACAACAGGTAGGGCTGTGGTGCTGAACTGAAAAGCTATTGTGCAATGCTTCGGACACCCTGAACTAAAAGACCCCAGAGAGTTTACAACCTGAGTAAAACAGGCAAAGGTGACTGATACGCCCTGGCAGAAAAGAACAAAATTAAAATGAATCTGTTTAACTACTGTTTGCAGGAAGTTGTTCCTAGTGAAATGTTGGCTTGGGTTTAAGGAAATAAAGGGGGGAAAAAAGCCCTTTCTTGGTGACAGAAGCAGCAAATTTGTGGGTTCAGAAGCACTGAAGGCAACTCAAAATGGCAAAAATACATCTCTCAGCTGCCATTGGTATTCCAGAGAAAATAGTTAAAGATGCAGACTTTGTTTCCAGATGATTCCCCGTCAGCCTCTGAACTTCCACCCGGCTGGTCTCGAGTCAGCCTGTTCATGTTTGCTCCCTGCCAGCAAAATAACAGCCCTTGCAGGTTCCCACGCAGTAGCTGCCTCATGGGATGTTTTGGCGTTGGTGCCATGCATCCAGCTGGGGGTCTGTGGGCCTGTAGCAATTCCGGTATGTCCCAAATAGTCCAGAGCCCTGGGACATATGCAGTTCTATTTCATAGATCCGTGTGGAGACGTTGATCTCTTCTCACTGCTTCTTTCAGGACAAGATTTATATCTGCAGAGCTTGTGTGACAACTGCCAAGTTTAGAGGCAAAGGACTTCAAGCTGGTAAGGCTGGCTCTGCAAGGCATCCCCGGGCCTGTCTGCCAGCAGGGAAGTCATGCCTGGGACACAACAGAGCAGGTTTCTATCCCAGGCAACAGCTCAGCTGCAGGGATGAAGAATGTGATCTGATTTTTCTGTTTGTTCAGAAAACAGGTGCTTGGCATGGAAAGTGGCACTCCTTCCCTTCTCCTTTTACTGAAATCATTGATGATGCCATGTCTGAGACTGTGCAAGTCACTGAGGTGTAGCTCAGGCACTG